CGAAATTTAAAAGCTTTAATCGAGTTAATGGATGGAAAATGTGTTGGGTTTTTAATTACTGTACAAAATTTCAGACAATTTTACTATCCATTACTAGCCCTTTAACTATCCATTTTTTCCTAAAAAATCGGCCTTTCGCATGCTTAGCAATTAATGCCTTTACCTAACTTGCATGTTGCTGACATATGCAAATTAGGCAAATGCATTAATTAAGCAAGCAAATAGCTGATTTTGTAGGAAAAATGTAAGTTACTTTGCGTGAATAGTTAAAGGGCTTAAACTGAAGCAAGTTGGATAAAATTTTGTGCAGCAATTAAACACCCAACACATTTTTCACCCATTAACTCAAAATACGATTATAGCTTTTAAATCTCGTGCGCAAGCCATTTTTAGTTTGTCGAAAAAGACACCCCCTGGTTTACAAAATTTGTGTTCGAGAAATTTTTTTCATTATTCTACATTATAAGTACTCAAAAAAGCTGTATATATCAAAAACTGGATACTGATAGTTGTTATGCAAAATTGAGAGCAATTTCAAATCTGTTCAGTTTTTTTTTATACACCCTGTATATTGATTTTTCCTTATTTGTAATGTAATCTAACGTTGTGTCAAAGCTTCTAAAATAAAATAACACAAAATAAAATGCTTTAAATATATGCTTTATTCAAAATGCTATAAATACTAATTAACTTTATATGACTTACAACTTAGTTGTGTAGAAGCCCCACACTTTCAAAAAGAACACAAGTAAGCAAATTAATTGTACGTTTTTTAAGATTTTTTACAGCCACAATTACAAAATTACAGCAACTCCTAATACCGAAGTGCAAAGATTATGTCACCAAAGTCACGTGAAATTATGTTCTCAGTTTCTTCTGTGCATAAATGTATTATGTATGAGCCAGAAACTTTATAGCTAAACTACGTAACACCGTGACATATGCTTGAACAAACAGAACAGTTCGCTGATACGCCAAAAGTCTTACCAATTAAGAGAGGAGAAAGAACTTCATTTTGGTGAGATTTGAAGTAAGTCAGTGCTTGATTGGTATCCGATAACAGAGACAACTACGAACGGTTAATACCTTCAACTACGTCAGGAAGCTCACCTGGGGCCGGAATTTCTGGTTGGGGTGGATCTACTTTTCCAATTTTAGGGATTAATTCCTGGCACTCCGTCAGGTTATATTACAAAGATGGCTAAAAGCATGAGATCCATGTGAACATGGCTTTCTCATTCGTTTGAACCGTTTCTCGCATTCTAGATTCAGGTTCAGGACTTTGATCGTTGAAACCGTGACCTACAAAAGGATGGTGTTTACATTAATTTACTGACCAATATTTGCACTATATAAGTCTTTAAGTTAGTTATACAAGACGCCAAGTATATATATGCCAGTATTTTTTCTATTACTTCGTCTCACTCCGAATCATCAATGGTGTCATCCGTGTCTTCTTTTCGGATAAGTTTCTCTGGGAAATCAACATTATATTCGTCCTCCGTACACGAAATTGAATTCACTTAGAGATCCATGGAATTTGTCCCCATCGATCGTGATCCAGGTTGTAGTAGGGAGGTATTAGACAATGGTGTTGGCGTTGTCAAATGTTGACCCACAGGTACAGTACGTGTCTTGATTACGTGATGAGGCTATATCTGACTTCGATTAGCGTTATAGCTATTTCAGATAACCTGTGCCAATTGTGTATTAAGTAGGTGTGGAAAAAATAAATTCTGTAAATAATTTAATGGTGCAAAAATAAAATGTGTCTTGTCAGTCTTGGCGCACAATTGTTGATTCAAATAGAAATTCGAAATTAATGAACATATACGAAACAGGCAGAAAATTAGTATTCGTTAATGAACTGACATTTAATTTTTTTTTCTTGAAGGTTTGATTTAGTTAAAATTTTCAAACTTTCGTCTATCCTATTCCATATATATATTTGGTCCCTGAGAACAAAGAGAAAATTTACCATAATTAGTCAGTAACGGTGTGCAATAGCTATAGTTTTTGTTGCTAGTCTGGTACGGTGCTCATGACTGTCACAAACGGCAAGAAAGAAATTGTTAAAGACACTAGGATGTTTATTTGCATGATAGTCGTGCATAAACAATAAATTAAATAAGTTAATTATATCAAGCAGTTAAAAAAAACAAGATGTTTTAATAAGGGACTAGTATGATGTTTGTGATGTTACTCTGAGTGTATATCCACACCGGGCGAGCTTGAAAAATATGCCCGGCCACGGTGGGAATCGAACATCATATTCACTTGAGTACACAACACCAACACAGAAAAAAGTCATATCACTAGATTACATTCGTATCGAAGGAACTAGATTCTGTTCCGAAATATCACTTACTCGAACCGACCTGACCGCGTAGCTCAGTTGGCAGAGCATTGGGCTAGTATTCCAAAGGTCGTAGGTTCGATTCCCACCGTGGCCGGGCATATTTTTCAAGCTCGCCCGGTGTGGATATACACTCAGAGTAACATCACAAACATATTCACCTGAGTACAACAGGTGGGAAATTTGTCTGAGCATGCGCGAGCAAAGTGAGCAACACAATTGCGTGGAATACACGCAACGCGTGTTTACAAAAAGGCACAATCGTGCATTAAAATATTGCCAAATGTTTGTACAAAATAAATGACTGTTTTATGTTGAAAGTCTAAATTAATCATACAAAAATTTTTAGTGACGTTTTATTTCAGTACCCTGCCATTGTCTCTGGTGGGCTGTCCGTGTGTAATTCGATCTGAAACAGTCGCTACTATGCTGTCGAAAAATTTCGAATGTTTACATGAACATAGAGGCAAGTCATGCATTTTACAACCTCGTAAACTGTATGAGACCCTATTTTTACGCTTATACCTAAGATCAAATAAAAGTACATGAAACAGAGAACATTTTTAGAAAGTTTTATCGTGAGGCCACGGCCAGTTTTTAAAATATCTTTATTTCTGTTCCGGTCATCACCAAAATTACACTAAAGCCGGGCTTGAATATACAACAAATTTTGAATCTCATCAAATACAAAAATATTTAACGTGTAACCAAAATATGCTCACGAAATCGAAATTAATAGCTACATTTTCAAACTAGACCCTTCTCGAAGCCGTTTTCATGAAGGAAGTTCACATTTCGGCCTTTGATTCTTGGCAAAAATTTGACAACAACACGTGCGAAGCAACTGGGTCTCAAAGACTCAGCTAAACATTGTGAGCCCCTATTTTCCTGACGATATGTTTGATACCTACAAACACCTAAAAGTTTTTTCTTTTCATATATCTATATTATAATACAGTTCAAAGTCAAGCTATTTTTACATATTTTCAAAATTTGTCAAATTTCGCGAGCTTGTATTTTGAACTTAGACAGCTGAAGTTACATTAAGAAACATAGGATGGAAAATTTGAGGCATATAAAGTTAATTTCAACTTACATTTCATTCTCATATCACGTCTTTCTTCGTTTATTACGGTTTTAAACAAGCCACAGATCGATGTATACGGTATTTACTCCCATGTTCACGTCGCCATATTAACTTCTTCCAATCACTCGATTACAAAACAAATCATCCCAAACCAAAGAACTCATAGTCGACTTTTAAAAGAATAACCGTTAATTTGTAAATCGTTGAATGGAAAGCAAAAAATCGTCAGCTAAAACAGCTTCTTGCTAACTTTCTGCTTTGTTTTGAATGTAAATGCAATGAGCTTTGTTTCTGCCCGCGATGTTTTGGTCAGCGACAACAAATTTCCCACTTGTTCCTGAGTACACAACACCAACACAGAAAAAAAGAGTCCTTTATTTAAAAATCACGTTTTTTTAAGTTATGACATTATTTGATAAAGTGGTTACCCGCACAACTCTTTTGTGGAAGAGTACTAAAGGTTTTAAAGAAGATTCATATGTATTTCCTCAAACTATCACACCATACCAAGGAAATCAGTGGTCCTCCTTCAGTTAGAGTACAACAGTAACCTGTAGTACTTCGCCTGTCTTCCAGGCAAGAGGCCCAATCTGAATCACTATAACAAGCAGTGAGCTGCAAGTCAGCATCAGATTTCTTAAAGCAGAGTTCATAGTCCACGGTACGCTTTAGATACCTTAGGACATGTTTGGCAGCAATTAAATCTCCCGTTCTGGGGTTTGACAGAGTTTGAGACAGTCTGCTTACAATCCAACTTAAATCAGGCCTTGTACAGGTCATGGCATAAATTAGGCTTCCTATCATTTCTCTATACTGTCTGGCGTTGGACAATTCACCACAGTTAAATTCTAATCGTTGCTCAGATGGGGTTAACCTGGGCTTGCAGTCTATCATTCCAAATCTCTCTAGTATTTTAAGAATGAATCTTTTCTGATTCATTTTTATTTCACCCTTGCTTTGCTTAAAATCCATTCCAAGGAAGAAAGTGATTCTACCTAGATCTTTCATCTTAAATTGTATCTTCATACTTTCTTTAAATTCTTCCATTAACTGCATACTATCTGAAGCTATAATTAGGTCATCAACCCAAACAATGACGATAACAATTTTATCATCAACTTGTTTCTTATATACGCAGTGGTCAGCATGGTTTCTGACAAAACCGTCATTTGCTAAATGCTCGTGTAACAATATGTTCCAATTTCTACCTGATTGTTTTAGACCATATAGTGATTTCTTTAGCCTATATACTAACCTCTCACCACTCTCTGAAACCTCTTCAAACCCTTGTGCTGGTCTATGTATAACTCTTGAGTAATGGGGGCATGCAGATATGCAGTTTTAACGTCCATCTGGTGGACAATAAGATCGTGTTTTACTGCTAACTGCATGAAGACCCTAATTGAAGTAATACTGGCTGTCGGGGCGAAAGTTTCTTGATAATCTATACCCTTTACCTGGCTGTAACCCTTCGCTACATATCTGGCCTTAAAGGTCTCTATGCCATTCTGATCTTGTTTGGTTGTGTACACCTATTTCCCCCCTACTGAAGCTTTTAATTACCTTCTGGTAAAGTTGATAATTCGTAAGTATCATTCTCTTTCAGAGAACTGATCTCTTCCTTCATTGCTTTCTCCCACTCCCTAGCTTGAGGTGATCCCATGGCTTCTGTGTAATTTTGTGGTAATCCACAAACTTTGTAGCAGTAATATACACTAATGTGGGCACAATCGGCATTCTTAGGGAGGAGGGTGTCCTCTTCTAAGTATCTGGGAGGGTTCCTTTCTCTTTGAGGATACCGTTTTGTCTCACTGTCATTCTCAGTATGGTCGCAATGCCTTCCCTCACTATCCCTAGGTTCCTCATCAGGCACTGTATTTGGCGGCATTGCACTTAAAACAGGGAGGCTCATACTATCTAAGTCTGATCTAGTATCATGGTCAGATTTCTCATGTACATCACAATCTCCTTGCTGGACTCATCAATTTGTGTGTGCTGTTCTACACTACCTTTCTTGATGAATCTAATGAGTCGATGTTTCATGATTTTCCCATTTTGTGGGTAGTACAATAGGTACGAAGGGCTATTTTTGTCGTATCCCACAAATACCCCCTTGCTGCATCTTGAGTCTAATTTCTTATGCTCCTGTTCGTAAGCAAAACATTCAGATCCAAAGATCCACATTTTAGAAAGATCAGGTACTTTCCCAGTAAGGCTAAAGTAGGGTGTTATCTTTGTTCTCTTATTAAAACATCTATTCCTAATGTGAGCTGCGGTTTGAATTGCATAGGGCCAGAGAGTTTTGGGTAACCCTGATTGAAGAAGAAGACATCTGCCCATTTCGAACAATGTGCGCCAGTGCCTTTCGGCGGTGCCATTCTGGTGTGGCGAGTAGGGGGCAGAAGTTTCATGTTTTATGCCACGCTCCCTTAGTAGTGTTTGAAACGCCT